TAGGAAAGTCTAGAACACAGGTTGGGCGCGGTGGCTCACACCTGTAATCCCAGCATTTTGGGAAGCCGAGGCAGGTGGATCACAAGGTCAGGAGTTCGAGACCAGAATGACCGAGATGGTGAAACCCCATCTCTACTAAAAATACAAAAATTAGCTGGGCATGGTGGTGGACACCTGTAATCTCAGCTACTCAGGAGGCTGAAGTAGGAGAATCACTTGAACTCGGGCGGAAGAGGCTGCAGTGAGCCGGGAGTGTGTCACTGAAAAAAAGTCTAGAACATTCCAGAGGGCCAGAAATTGTTCTTCCCATGCTTTTAGGGCAGCGATTGGCAAACATTTTCTGTAAAGGGCCAAAGAGTAAATATTTTCAGCCCTGTAGGTCACAAGGTCTCTGCTGCAGCTACTCAGCTCTGCCATTCTAACAGCAGAGCAGCCATGGACAACACATGAATGACCAAGCATGATGTGTACCAATAAAACTTTACTTATGTGCACTGAAATTTGTTACTATTATTTTTTGAGACGGAGTCTCACGCTATTGCTCAGGCTGTAGTGCAATGCCTACATGCCCGGCTTATGCACACTAAAATTTGAATTGCATTTTTTTATTTTTGAGACAAGGTCTCGCTCTGTTGCTTTGGCTGCGTAGTGCATTGGCATGATCTCAGCTCACCGTAGTCTCAACTTCCTGGGCTCAAGAACTTTTTCACCTCAGCCTCCTGAGTAGCTGGGACTACAGGTATGCACTGCCACACCTGGCTAATTTTAACCATGTTTTGTAGAGATGGGGTCTTGCTATGTTGCCCCGGCTGGTCTCCAACTCCTGGGCTCGAGCAATCCTCCTGCCTCAGCTTCCCAAAGAGCTGGGATTACAGGCGTGAGCCACCATATCCAGCCTAGTATATCATTTTCACGTGAAGAAATAGTATTCTTCGGCCAGGTGCAGTGGCTCACACTTGTAATCCCAGCACTTTGGGAGGCCAAGGCAGCCGAATCACTTGAGGTTCAGAGTTTGAGACCAGCCTGGCCAACACAATGAAACCCCATCTCTACTAAAAACACACAAATTAGCTGGGCATGGTGGCAGGTGCCTGTAATCCCAGCTACTCGGGAGGCTGAGGCAGAAAAATTGCTTGAACACAGGAGGTGGAGGTTGCAGTGAGCCAGGATCACACCACTGCACTCCAGCCTGGGCGACAGACTCTGACTCAAAAAAAAAAAAAAAAAGAAATAGTATTCTTCTTTCAATTAAAAATGCAAAGGCCACCCGGGCACGGTGGCTCACGCCTGTAATCCCAGCACTCTGGGAGGCCAAGGCAGGCAGATCGCTTGAGCTCAGGAGTTTGAAACCAGCTTGGGCAACATGGTGAAACCCCATTTCGACCCAAATAAATACAAAATAAAATTAGCTGGGAATGGTGGCATGCACCTGTAGTCTCAGCTATTTGGGAAACTGCAGTGGGAGGATCGCTTGAATCTGGGAGATGGAGGTTGCAGTGAGCTGAGATCAAGCCACTGCACTCCAGCTTGGAAAACAGAAGCCATCAAAAAAAAGTTAAAAGAAAAACACACCAAAACCATCTTTAACTAAAGACCTATGTGAGGCCGGGGGCGGTGGCTCAAGCCTGTAATCCCAGCACTTTGGGAGGCCGAGATGGGCGGATCACAAGGTCAGGAGATCGAGACCATCCTGGCTAACCTGGTGAAACCCTGTCTCTACTAAAAAATACAAAAAACTAGCCGGGCGAGGTGGCGGGCGCCTGTAGTCCCAGCTCCTCGGGAGGCTGAGGCAGGAGAATGGCGTAAACCCGGGAGGCGGAGCTTGCAGTGAGCTGAGATCCGGCCACTGCACTCCAGCCTACGCAAGACTCCGTCTCAAAAAAAAAATAAACAAAACAAACAAACAAACAAAAAAGACCTATGTGAGCAGGCAGTGAGCTGGGTCTGGCCCAATGATGATGATTTGCCAAGCCCGGCTCCAAAGCTGCCCCACAGCCCCCTTCTCACTCTACCCCGTTCTCAAGACTGGCTCTCCTCTCCCTGGCCAGCCGGGATCTGCTCAAAACCACCCTCAGAGCCTCCTGAGGACCTCATCCTTCCTGGCAAACTGTTGCCAGACTTTGGAAGCCTGATTCTGGCTGTCTAGGGGCCTTAGTGCCTGAGGCTAGGGTGGGCGGGACACTCACCCTCCTGGGGGGCAGGGTAGGAAGCCAGGGTCTCGGGGCTCTGGAAGAAGACAGAGGAGGGGCAGGACTGAGTCCCCCTGCTTGGTTGGTTCCAGGCAGTCCAGGACACCTGGAGGGTGGGGCGGGCACTACCTGGGCACCAGCGGGTGGCTCTTCAGGTGTGACTAGAGGCACCGTCTCCAGCCAGGGTTCCGGGGAACTGCTTGAGCTCCTGCTGCCCCCCTGCTCAGCAGAGGCCCCCTCCACCCATTCTGGGGAGTCAGAATCCTCATCTGGGTCCTCAGGGGGCTGCAACAGTCGGGGGGCAGGCTCTAGAGGCTCTTCAGGACCAGGCTGGGAAGGCGAGCATTCCTCGCAGTGCAAGAGGCTCAGCAGGTCATCCCGGCCAGCTTCGGCAGACAGGAGCCCGTGGGCATCGGCGATCTCCTGGGAGGCCAGGCCGTGGCCTGTGGCAATGTGTAGGGGACAGGGGGTTCCATCTGGGGATGGGCCCACCAGATCACCCGGCAGAGCTTCAAACTGCTGCACCAGCTCCTGAATGCTTGACTCATCAAGTTCCATCCGACTCAGGCTGCCGGGGCCTCCTGGCACAGGGTCCCACTGCCTGTGAGGGGTGAGGTCCTCAGAGGGCACAAGCATGTCCCTGGGCTCCTCCAAGTCCATGGCTGGAAGCCCCGAAGGGGATCGGGAAATTGTAGGGAAGTCCATGCCTGGACTCCAGGCTTAGGCTGGCATCTTCAAGCAGCTGAAAGACACAGAGTCAGCGCTGAGGTTTCGCCTGGGTACAGTGGTTCATGCCTGTAATCTCAGCACTTTGAGAGGCCAAGAACGGCTGACTGAACCCAGGAGTTCAAGATCAGCCTGGGCAACAGAGCAAGACCCTACCACTACAAAAAATACAAAAAAATTAAGGCCGGGCACAGTGGCTCATGCCTGTAATCCCAGCACTTTGGGAGGCCAAGGAGGATGGATCACAAAGAGTTAGAGACCAGCCTGACCAACATGGTGAAATTCCGACTCAAAAAAAAAAAAAAAAAATTAGCTAGGGGTGGTGGTGTATGCCCGTAGTCCCAGCTACTTGAGAGGCTGAGGTGGGAGGATCACTTGAGCCAGGGGAGGCAGAGGCTGCAGTGAGCCTTGATTGTGCCACTGCACTCCAGTCTGGGCGACAGAGTGAGGCCCTGTCTTAAAAAAAAAAAAAAAAAAAAAAACAAAAAACACCCAAAACCATAAAACCTGAGGTTTCCTGGGTGCCTATCCGGTGCTAGGCTCTAGCGGATACTGTTCACACAGGGTACGTAATTTAATCCCCGACAACCCTTACAAGGAGTTAGGATTCCCATTTTACAGATGAAGAAACTGAGGCGCAGAATGGGGAGGTGTGAAGCAGTGGCTTCCCGAGCCCCTGTATGTGTCATCCCAGACCTCTCCCAACTAATGACGTCTGTTCACTCCAGCCCTGGTTCTTCCAAGTCCTCCTCCCTCGAGACGCGGAACCCAGAATGGAGACTCAGACCTCACACCCTGACTCTACAGACTCGTCAGAAGCAGGTCCCCAAGACCCCAGACCCAAGACCTCAGTCCCATGACCTTAACCCCCAATACCTCCATCCAGAACTTTAGACCCAGGACCCTGGACTTAATACCAGAGAGTCAAGACGCCATAAGGCAGACCCGAGTCTCCAAATCTCCAATGTTACCCCAAGAACGACTCTAGACTGAGACCCCGAGTTCAGGACCCAGCCCCAAGCCCAGACTCCAGTCCGCCCTCAGACCGAAGACCTCAAGCGCCGACTCAGACCCCACTCTGCACCTCGAGGACACTCACTTCCCAAATCGAGGCCGCCTCAGCCCCGCGCAGCCTCCAGGACCCCGCACCCCCAGTACGACCCCGACATAGCCCAAACCGCGCCCCCAGAAGACGCACCTCGGAGATTCCCGGTCCCAGCGCTGGCTCCTCCATCGGCACAGCGCCCTGGCCCACTGAGCATGCGCAGCCTCGCGAGGCCTGCTGGGAAATGTAGTTCTGTCAGCCAGCCACGCCATGAGGGGGCGCTGGGACTCCTGTAGGTGTTGGAGCCGGGGTTCGAATCCCATGCTTCTCTGCCCGCAGACAGCCCGGGCTGGCCCCAGGACCTGTTTCTTCCCCTGCAAAATAGGGTTAATAATCACTGCCTGGCTCCGGGGGCCGTGTTCATTATTCCAAAGGATGGCAGATGGGGAGAAGAGGGGTTGGGAAATATTAAAGAAGTGTGAGAGGTGGTTTCCTTGGCACCTTGAGGCACCGGAAGCGACATGGTAACCCTGTTGAAGACGGACTTCCGGTTTGGCTCACAGTAGGGAGACAGGTTGGTGCACCCTGGATTTGCGGTCGGCCTGCGAACTTTACTTCCCTGAGTCTCAGTTTCCTCACTAATAAGCTGGGGAAAAAAATAGTACCTACCTCCTAATTGTGAGGATTAAATTAGATCGAGTGGGTTAAGGATTTAGCAGTAGGGCTGGAAAAGAATATATAAAATACATATTATTAATTTGAATTTTATATATAATACATACTATGTGTTATATATATATAGTATATAATAATGTTAAAAATGATGTTATAAAAATTAACAGTGATTAGACTCCAGGCCTACTGGGGTATATTAGACTCATTGTTAATCTCTTTAAAGCTTTGAATAATTACTCATTGGATGGAATTGGGAACATATAAAGTGTGATATCTTTAGTAAATGTTATGTAATTGAAGAAGGGCAAGAAGAAGTCAATGAAATAACCCTCGAACGCCTCCTTCTACGGTAATACGTATGACTACAAGTCTAAAGAACTCACCATAGAGTATGAGAACTTGGGAGACTACATTTCCCAGACACCTCCACGGGGCCTACAACTGCGGAGCACCCCTTGGACCACTGACGTCTTCCGGAAACGTGCACGTGCAAGCTGCCCGCAATACGTCATGGCGACCAGACGCCTTTTAGGGGCTGCCCGGACATGGGCCGGCTGGGGGACCCGGGAGCTCCTAGACCCCGCCTCTCCTAGAAGGCTCCTGGTCCGGGATTATGCTAAGAAACCAGGTGAGCTGAGTTAACAGGAACCAAATAGGGGCGGTGGGTACGCTGAGGAATTGGCAGTGCGCAGGCGCTGGTTGGGGAGGCGGTGGTAGAACTAATGCGCAAACGCAGAGAGGCGGATGCCAGGCTGTAGGCGCAGGCGCAGTTTGAGGGACCCAGCGCCGCTTTGAGTTCCGGCGTCCGGCTTGGAGATAACCTTAGCGATTGGACGCAGGGCGCAGGCGCCAGCTGGGGAGCGGCCTGGGAGGAGGGTGTGGGTTACGTGGAGCCCACGCGTTTCACTGCGCAGGAGCGGGTTGGAAGGGATTTGCCGGGAGTCTGGGGAGGTCATGAACTTGGGTTCCAGTCCTGTTTCTCTGCCTGCCTCCAAATCGCAGGGTGATCTTGGCCAAGCCGTTACCAAAAATTCAAAGAAACTATGGAGCCTATTTAAATCTTAGCCACTTCAGCAAGAACAAACCAAGGTTATTAAGGTTTAGCTGGATACAGCCTTGCCTGATCTCCTTTGTTGAAAGGGGAAAATTGGCAAATGTTCGGCCTTAAAGACAGACACATAGCAGACGATATAACTTGAATGACGGTCATTCCAAGCATCGGTGTTACTTAATGATATGTCTAAATCCCACTTAAAGTGATTTTGAAGCCAGGCATGGTGGCTCACATCTTTATTCCCAGCACTTTGGGAGGCCAAGGAGACATGATCGATCGCTTGAACCCAGGAGTACGAGACCAGCCTGGGCCACATAGCAGGACCCTGTTTGTATAAAAAATAAAAAAGTGCCTGGCATGGTAGCTCACGCCTGTAATCCCAGCACTTTGAGAGGCTGAGGCAGGTGCATCACTTGAGGTCAGGAGTTCGAGACCAGCCTGGCCAACACGGTGAAACCCCGTCTCTACTAAAAGTACAAAAAATTAGCCGGACGTGGCGGCTCGTGCCTGTAATCCCAGCTACTCGGGAGGCTGAGACAGGAGAATCGCTTAAACCCGGGAGGCGGAGGTTGCTGTGAGCCAAGATCGCGCCACTGCACTCCAGCCTGGGTGACACAGTGACACTCCGTCTCAAAAATAAATTTAAAAAAATAAAAATAAGTGGGGCATGGTGGCTCACACCTGTGATCTCAGCTACTGGGGAGGCAGAGGCAGGAGGATCGCTTGAGCCTGGGAGTTTGAGGCTGCAGTGAATCATGATTGTGCCCCTGCACTCCAACCTGGGCTGCCTTTATTTTTAAATTTTTTTAGACTTTTTGTTTTTTGAGATGGAGTCTTGCTGTTACCCAGGCTGGAGTGCAGTGATGTGATCTCGGCTCACTGTAAGCTCCGCCTCCCGGGTTCAAGCGATTGTCCTACCTCAGCCTCCCGAGTAGCTGGGATCACAGGCATGCGCCACTATGCCCAGCTAATTTTTTTTTTTTTTTTTTTTTAGTAGAGATGGGGTTTCACCATGTTGGCCAGGCTAGTCTTAAACTCACCTGACCTCAAGTGATCTGCCCACCTCGGCCTCCCATAGTGCTGAGATTACAGGCGTGAGCCACTATGCCTGGCCGAGACCCTGTCTTTAAAAAAAAGTTTTGAGTGGCCGAACGTGGTGGTTCACGCCTGTAATCCCAGCACTTTGGGAGGCCGAGGTGGGCAGATCACGAGGTCGGGAGATCGAGACCATCCTGGCTAACACGGTGAAACCCCGTCTCTACTAAAAATACAGAAAAATTAGTCGGGCGTGGTGGCGGCGCCTGTAGTCCCAGCTACTCGGGAAGCTGAGGCAGGAGAATGGCGTGAACCCGGGAGGCAGAGCTTGCAGTGAGCCGAGATCATGCCATTGCACTCCAGCATAGGCAACAGAGTGAGACTCCATCTCAAAAAAAAAAAAAAAGTTTTTAGTGTAGCAGAGTCCAGTGAGGGGCTGAGGCCACCTGAGACAGGGGGCTCTGTAAGGGAAGTTTGGCTTCCAGGGGAGCGACTGGGCTGAAATGACTCTCCCTCTCCTCCCCCCAGTTATGAAGGGGGGCAAATCCGGAAAAGGTGCAGTGCCCAGTGAGGCCCTCAAGGACCCCGACGTATGCACAGACCCTGTCCGGCTCACCACATACGCCATGGGCGTCAACATCTACAAGGAAGGGCAGGATGTACCCCTGAAACCGGATGCTGAGTACCCTGAATGGTGAGTGGACCAGGCTGTGTCATCGTGCACTGACTATTCCTTCCTCCGCCCCAGGAGGACCCCTTCTGGGAGAGGCAGATCCCTACTCCAGCCGGAGCCTAACAGTCATACCTACCCATCCTTCAGGGCAGGGGCTTCAGGGCTCTGCGTCTGGGTGGTCTCATCTGTAACGGGGTGATGGGACCCATCCCTCCCTCCAAGGGCTGTGAGGAATTCATGAGATTAGAACGCCTGTCAAGTACCTAAAACGATGCTCTTTCTTCTTAAGCAAATACTTAAAAAGTTTTTTTTTCAGGCTGGGCTCAGTGGCTCACGCCCATAATCCCAGCACTTTGGGAGGCCGAGGTGGTTGGATCACTTGAGGTCAGGAATTCGAGACCAGCCTGGCCAACATGGTGAAACCCTGTCTCTACTAAAAGTATAAAATTGGCCGGGCGCAGTGGCTCACGCCTGTAATCCCAGCACTCTGGGAGGCCGAGGCGGGCAGATCACCAGGTCAGGAGACCGAGACCATCCTTGCTAACACAGTGAAACCCTGTCTCTACTAAAAAAAGTACAAAAAGTTAGCCGGGAGTGGTGGCGGGCGCCTGTAGTCCCAGCTACTTGGGAGACTGAGGCAGAACGGCGTGAACCTGGGAGGCGGAACTTGCAGTGAGCCCAGATCGCACCACTGCACTCCAGCCTGGGCGACAGAGCGAAACTCTGTCTCTCTATACATATATTTTATGTATTTTACATATGTAATATATAATATATATATATATAAATTAGCTGGGTGTGGTGGCTCATGCCTGCAGTCCCAGTTACTTGGGAGGCTGAGGCACGAGAATTGCTTGAGCCTGAGAGGCGGACGTTGCAGTGAGCCAAGGTCACACCACTGCACTCCAGCCTGGGCGACAGAGTGAGATTTGGTCTCCAAAAAAAAAAAAAAAGTTTTTTTCTTTGAGATGGAGTCTCACTCTGTCACCCAGTCTGGAATGCAGTCACGCGATCTCAGCTCACTGCAAACTCTGCCTCCTGGGTTCAGATGATTCTCCTGCCTCAGCCTTCAGAGTAGCTGGGACTACAGGCATGTGCCCCCATGCCTGGCTAATTTTTTTTTTTTTTTTTGAGACAGAGTTTTACTCCCGTTGCCCTGGCTGGAGTGCAGTGGCATGATCTCAGCTCACTGCAACCTCTGCCTCCCAGGTTCAGACGATTCTCCTGCCTCAGCCTGCCGAGTAGCTGGGATTACAGGTGCCCGCCACCACACCCAGCTAATTTTTGTATTCTTAGTAGAGACGGGGTTTCACCATGTTCTCCAGGCTAGTCTCGAACTCCTAACCTCGTGATCCGCCCACCCTGGCCTCCCAAAGTGCTGGGACTACAGGTGTGCGCCACCGCGCCCGGCCTGCAAATACTTATTGACCACTGACTGCATGCCAGGCCCTTGCTCTAGGCTTCAGGGTACAGAAGGGCTCAAAATAGACACAAGTCACCACCGGCAGAACTAGCTGGGGAGGCAGACGGGAAGCAGGAAGTCAGGCAGCTGTGGTGGTGACACTTCCGGGAAGGGGGCAGGAGAATGAGTGACAGAGCAGGGACATTTGGCTGCTCTGGTCTGAGGTTTGGGGGACACAGAAGCCAAGACGTGAGTGGGTGGAAGGGGTTTTTCAGGCAATGGACACAGCCTGTGTAAAGGCCCCAGGGCAGGACCACACCTAGTGTGCTGGAGGAACAGCAGGGAGGCGTGTGTGGCTGGAGCAGAGTGAGGAGGGGGAGAGAGGGAGGAGGCGGGGACAGGGCCTGTGGGCTGCGGGAAGGGTTCTGCTGTGGCCCCAAGCTGATCTGCAGCCTGGGGAGGGTCAGGAAGTCTGAGCAAGTGGGGACAGGTGGCCTGGTGTGGACAGTGCTGGGAGGCAGGAGAGGGCTTGGCATGTGCCAGCCTCAGAGGTTGTGCCATTGGGGTGCAGTTGGCTCCATTGCTGCACAGCCAGGGACCCTCCCAGCCCTGGATCCGGGAGGGACCACCCCGAGATCATGCAGCCAACCAGTGGGCTTGGGACCCAGCCCAGTGGCCGCCTCTGCCCGAGGTGCCCAGGACACCAGGTGGCCCAGGGGGTCGCCGTGTAGCTCTGATTCCTGCCTGCGCCCTCGTCAGGCTGTTCGAGATGAACTTGGGCCCCCCAAAGACCCTGGAGGAGCTGGATCCTGAGACCCGGGAGTACTGGCGGCTGCTGCGGAAACAGAACATCTGGCGCCACAACCGGCTGAGCAAGAACAAGAAGTTGTAGCGTGGTGGGTCCGGCCTCCCCGACCCCAGCCCCCGAGGGCTTGCCGCGTAGCGTGGTGGGTCTGGCCTCCCCGACCCCAGCCCCCGAGGGCTTGCCGCGTAGCGTGCCGACGCCCACACTGAGGACTTGCTGATTTCCCAGAGGACGCCGGCTTTTGTGAGACAAGAGGCCTGGGTTTCCATGTGACCCCACAGTGGGGCTGGACTAGGGCCCTGGAGGCCAATAAAGACCTTTCTGGGTAGACCCTGGTACCCCTTGGTATTGTCTGGCGTCGGTCTGGCGGGAAGTGGGCCCCTCAGACCCCAGGGATCCCGGCCTCCACGCCAGCCAGTGGCGGGCCGTCTGCAGGTCCCCTGTGCCTCTGGACCCTTGGTGGGCTTCTCTTCCCAACTCCTGGAGTTCCTGACGCCGCCCACGAGGCCCGAGCCCCAGATCTCAAGCTGCTGGCTGAGGGGGTTGTCCTAGCTAAGCTGCTCTTGGTTGCAAGGGACTCAAACCTAACTCAAGCCGTCAGAGTCAGAAAAGAGGCTTTATGAGCTTCAAGAACAGAGATGTCTGGGCGGGGGTAGCGGTGTGGCTGCAGGTGTGGCTGGATCCAGGTGCTTCCATATTCAGACCCAAGGCCCTCTCCATCTCAGGGTCCTTGGATCCCCCAGGGGCTCGCACTCATGGGCAGGGTAGCCCCAGGGCTCCTGGCTGATGTCCCCACCAGCACAGCAAGTAGAATCAGAGGGGAGGGACTGCCCCTTCCTTCCTGCCACAGTCACACAGCGTGGTCCTCGATGGCCTATCCCTGGAGCCCAGGGGCTTGGGCCTGCCTTCTCCACCCCCAAGTGCTCTGTCCACTCCACTGGAGCCCAGGTCTCAGCCTCCGCCCCCAGTCCACCCTCTGGAGTCTGCTTTCAGCACCCTGACCCTGACCCACAGCCCGAGTGAGGACTGGCCTCCCTGCAGCCCAACTCCTGCCCTGCCTAGCTGTGATGAGGAGCAATGGGGCGGGATCCCGAGGGCTGGAGCCCACCAGATTGGAGGAGGCTGGGGGCGACACCTAGTTAGGGAGTGATGGGGCCTCTTGGTGGGGGTAGATCACCTCATAGACCCCATGTCCTGCAGAACCCCCAAGGGTCATGCCCTCAGCCCCACCCTTGCCACAGCAGCCCCACCCATTCCTAGGTGGGCACCCTAGGGGCTTTGGGCTGGGCTCACCCACCCTCTGGCTTCCTCTGTCCACAAGCTGGATGGGCGGGGCGAGGACCTGAGGCTAATTCTTCCCGTCCCAGGGAAACCCTAACCTTCATCCTCTTAGGGGACTCTGGAGTGGAGCGGATTACCACACACCTGCTGTCCCCGGTGGCCTCCCTGGGCAGGCGGGGGTGTGGGCACGCCTTCTCTTGCGCTCACAGCAAGTGGTGCCAGCCCTGTTCCCACCCTCCTGTTATTCCCCAAGGTTCTCAGGGTAAAAATCAAAGTTATAACAGCCACTGCCCTGCCTGGCCTCCCCGTCACCTCCCTCCTCCCCCTCCTCACTGTACTCCAGCCACACGGGCCTCCTCGCTATTCCTCCAGTGCACCAGGTGTGGCCCTGCCCCAGGGCCTTTGCACGGCCTATGCCTCTGCCCAGCCCCCTCCTCCCCTAGACCACCTCCCTCCCGCCCCGGTCTCCACCTTCACGCCAGCCTCCCCTCCTCCAGAACTCCCTATACAATTGCAGCCCCTGCCACACTCCCCATCTGCCTTTCCTGGTTGTTTTTTCTCCCTATCGCTTATCACTGTCTGAAGTCTTATGCTTTAGGTTTGTTTTTTATTTATTTGTTTTGAGTCGGGGTCTGGCTCTGTTGCACAGGCTGGAATGCAGTGGTGCGATCACAGCTCCCTGCAGCCTCGACCTTCTGGGCTCAAGCCATCCTCCTGCCTCAGCTTCTCGGGTTGCTGGGATGACAAGTGTGCACCACTACACCTGGCACGTTTTAAAAATGTCTGTGGAGACTGGGTCTTGCTATGTCACCCAGGCTGGTCTCAAGCAATCCTCCCACCTCAGCATCCCAAAGCACTGGGAGTACAGACATGAGCCACCACACCTGGCCTGGTTTAGGTTAAAAAGAAAAAAAAAACCTTTCTTGTGCTTACTGCCGTGTCCCCAGTGCCTGGTGCACAGTGACAGTGGCTGGGCGTTGGGCCACAGGACTTGTGAGGTGCCGCCTGGAGGTGGGGTGCCCCGGTGACCTGGGAGTGATCTGGGGAGCCCAGGCTGGAGACGAGGAGGGTAGCTACTGCAGCTCCTGCCCTGGTGCCGCACTTCTGTCTCAGGGGGTGGCCCTGGCCAAGACTCTCCCATCCCATGGCTCAGGGCCCCTCCTGCTGCACTGGGCCAGCCATGCTTGCCAGTCACAGCGGGTTCTCGGCCCCGAGACAGCCTCCTTGCTCAGAGCTCTTGGGCAATGCAACTGGGTTGGACAGAGCAGATGCCGGCCGTGCCTCTGCAGGGCTGGGGGACATGCACGGGGGCTGGGGGACATGCACGGGGCCTGGGGTCTGTGGGGACGCGAGGAACAGGGGCTGACGACGACACAGCCAGCACCAGCCCGCCTCCACACAAGGTTCCACCCTCCCTCCAGAACCGCTGCCATGCCTCAGATGGGGGGGCCGTGATGGGCCTGAAAGGCAGCTTCACCCACTCCTAGCCGTGCGACCTTGGGGACCTGGCTTCCTGCCTGAGCCCCCGTTTCCCTCTCTGTAGAATGGGCTGACGGCTGTGCCCAAGGTCCAGGGCGCAACAGAGAGGGGAGCGCTCACGTGGTGGGTGTACCGTGAAAGGAGACCAGGCTCGCGGGAGTTGCCATTATTGTCATTTCGGGGGGACCGGGAGCCTGGAGAGCGGGCAGCTCTGCTGATGGGGAGTGGGAGTGGCAGAGAGATGTACACTCATCTTACACAGTCAGCGGCCCCGCCACTCACAGCCTCACAGCCCGGGAACCTCAGAGGCCCCCATGCCCCATTAACACACGGGAGACTGAGGCCCCAGGAGGGGAGGAGGGTCCCCGTCCCCGGCCTAGGAATACTTGGGTCACCTCCTGCCTGACACTGGGGGCCGGTCCGCTGCCAGCAGGATGGGTGGCGATGGGGTGGGGGACAGGATGGGGGTGGGGGACCCAGCAGCCTATCTCTGGTCCCGCTCCCCAGTGGTGGTGGCCTGGCCTGACCACGGTTGCTCCGTGACTTCAGCCTAGGCCAAGGCGTGGTGGCTGTCACCAGGGCACGTCTCCAGCTCTCAGGCTGAACCGAGGAGGGGGCCCAGGAGGGCAGCAGGCTCAGGCCGGCGGCCAGGCCCTGTCCAGAGCCTGTGCGTGTTCCTTGGCCAGCAGCCTCAGGGACGCCTCCTCCAGGGCGAAGCCATCTGTGAAGGTGGGAGCAAAGGCATGAGGCCCGAAGGACGCTTGCAGCCCCGGGCCCGGGCCCAGGAGGCGGGGGAGGCCTGGCACGGCCGGCGGTCCAGGGCCCAACCAGGGCTCCAGGGGCAGCGACATGGCCGGGGGGCGGGCGAAGGGCAGCGCTGGGGCCTCGGGAAGTCTCGGGGCTGCCACGGCACCCGAGCCTGACTCCAGCCGCTCCTGGCGGCGCCACTTGGCCCGGCGGTTCTGGAACCACACCTGGAGGGTGTGAGAGGGAATGGGGGGATGCTGTGAGCTCAGCTGCTCCCCGCCACTCCTTGGAGGTCCTCTGCACACCCCAGCCCTGGGGGTTCCGCCTCCCGGCTGACCCAACTCACACCTGCTGCTTTGCTGTTTCATCCCAAGAAGATGAGGATCTCCGAAGCATTCCCTAAGCCCAGGCTCCCCTCCAACTCCTCAATCCCCTCTTTGGTCTCCCTTGTCCCTTATCATTCAAGGTCTTCAAAAGCATCGTTACCCGCACCATTCTCTGCCTCCTCCTTCACCCACTTCACACCTGGCTCAAGGGAAACGCCTTCAACTTAACCCCTCCACGTCTTTGCACACACTGTTCAGGATGCCTAGAAAAATGCCCCTTTTCCTTCCCAGCTGGCACACTCCTACTCAAATATCAAAACCTCAGCTCCCACACCCCCTCCTCCAGGAAGCCTTCCTAGCTTCTCTTCTGCTCATGCGCTGGGAGGGTCAGGATCTTGCTTCGCCTCCCTCCACAGGCTGTGAGAGGTGTGTGTGTTGGGGGTGCCCTCACCTGCACGCGCACCTCAGGTAGGTGCACCTTGGCCGCCAGCTCCTCACGGCTGTAGACATCCGGGTAGTGGGAGGCCTCGAACGCCCGCTCCAACTGGTGCAGCTGGTAGGTGGTGAAGGTGGTGCGGTTCCTCCGGTGCTTCTTCTTGGGGGCCTCCTCGCCCGGCCCCAGACTCCCACCCTCGGCCGCCGGTCCCTCGCCCGGGCTCAGGAACATGGCTCCCACCTGGTGAGACGGCAGCGGGACAGATGGCGGGGAGACGGCCGGGGGGGCTACCGGCAGGGACAGGGCAGGGGAGCCCCAGGCTTGCCTCCCGGCTCCGGGGAGATCTGTTCCCTCCACTGGGGCCAGCATGCGCTCTGCATCCCCGGGCTGTCCTCCTCGGGCTTGTGGGGGTCTCCTGCTGGGCCTCTGTCTGTTCTTCCTTCTCTGTGTGTCACGGTCCCTGTTTTCTCTTCCCCTCTCTGTGGCTGTCACGGCCTGTGTGTGTGGCGGGGGGGGGGGGGTCAAGGATGCCCCCCCAAGGAAGGCAGGATCCCTTCTCACACCCTAAGCCCTCCACCCTGGGGGGGATCTCTGCCCCCACCACCTCCCACGCAGGCCCACCAGTGCCCGCCCCGCACTCACCGCCCACGGCAGCCCCTCTGTCAATCTCCACAGGGCACCTGCCCCAGCGGGCCCGGCGCTGCGTCTGCTGTGGCCTAACCCTGCCAGACCTGAGCCGGGTCGGGGTTGGGTGGGGGAGGATTAGCTCAAGGTGATTAATTGAGGCGGCACCTCCCACTTGGTCCCCGGGCTGTCCTGAGCCAGGAGGGAGGGCAGGGTGGGCGGAGGGCTGCAGCTCTAAGTGGAGGCTGGGGGGATAGTCTGCCGGGCTCCACCGCCCCTCACCATAAGATGCCACGGGGGCTCTTCCTCCCTGGGCCTCAGTTTCCCTGGCTGTAAAACTGCCACACTAGGACCTACCCTGGGGGGGATTTCAGCTTCTCAGAGAAATTGGCATACAGGGGGCACTTAATGAATGCCCATTGTTAATACTTTTATCTGCTGGGGGCAGAAAAAGGTGTCTTAGGACTCAGATGTCAGAGGGGGTTGGGGAAGCTGAGGTCCCAGAGGTGAAGGCACTGCAGTTGGCTCTTCTGGACACAAAGGGCAGGGGTCCTTTTAACTGGGTCTTGAGGTATGAATAGGAGTTCACCATTCACAGCCAGGCATGGTGGCTCACGCCTGTAACCCCAGCACTTTGGGGAGGCTGAGGCGGGTGGACCACCTGAGGTCAAGAGCCAAGATCGCGCCACTGCACTCCAGCCTGGGCTGCAGTGAAACTCCGTCTCAAAAAGAAAAAGAAGTTCACCATTCATTCGTTCAATAAGCACTTATTGAGCACTTACTGTGTACCAGGTACCGCTCACAGGAGTAGTGACCAAAACAGACAGAAGACGGGGCTGACTTTCTAGTGGGGCAAACAGACAACCAGTGACTGTGTTAAAATGCAGAGCATGGCCAGTGGCCATGAGCCTGGGGAGAAAACCCATGGGGAGGGGCCTGTGGTGGCAAGGTGGGTTCCTATTTTATTTTGTTTTTTTTGTTTGTTTTTTATTTTTTGAGACAGAGTCTCGCTCTGTCACCCAGGCTGGAGTGTAGCAGCGTGATCTCAGATCTCAGCTCACTGCAACCTCCGCCTCCCGGGTTCAAGCGATTCTCCTGCCTCAGCCTCCTGAGTAGCTGGGATTACAGGCACCCACCACCACGCCCAGCTAATTTTTGTATTTTTTAGTGAGGACAGGGTTTCACCATGTTGGCCAGGCTGGTCTCGAAATCCTGACCTCGTGATCTGCCCGCCTTGGCCTCCCAAAGTGCTGGGATTACAGATGTGAGCCACCGCACCTGGCCTATTTTTGTTTTTTTGAGACTGGGTCTCCCTCTATTGCCCAGGCTGGAGTGCAGTGGCGCAATCTTTGCTCACTGCAACCTCTGCCTCCCAGGTTCAAGCGATTCTTTTGCCTCAGCCTCCCGAGTAGCTGGGATTGCAGGCACCTGCCACCACGCCCAGGTAATTTTTTTTTTTTTTTTTTGAGACAGAGTCTCGCTCTGTTGCCCAGGCTGGAGTGCAGTGGCACGATCTCGGCTCACTGCAAGCTCCACCTCCCGGGTTCACGCCATTCTCCTGCCTCAGCCTCCCGAGTAGCTGGGACTACAGGTGCCCGCCACCGCGTCCGGCTAATTTTTTTTTTTTTTGTATTTTTAGTAGAGACGGGGTTTCACCATGTTAGCCAGGATGGTCTCTATCTCCTGACCTTGTGATCCGCCCGCCTCGGCCTCCCAAAGTGCTGGGATTACAAGCGTGAGCGACCGCGCCTGGCCCACACTGGCATTTTATACAAACATCAGTGATGAGCAGCTGAGAAACCAAGGGCAGGTGCCTGGCAGGCGAGGCTAAAGGGCCTGGTCAGGCCAAGGGCTGGGGGGATGGGGAGGACAGAAGGGAGGGGGTAGCGATTCCAGAGGAAGGAAGTTGCAGAGGGGCAGGGTGTGGGTGTGGAGGTGCAAGGGCGATGTCGAGGCGCATTCTGGACTGTGAGGTGGGACTGTTTCATAGGCGGAGGCCTGAGAGGTGGGGTGGGCTCCAGGGAAAGCTCCAGAGACCAGTGCCCCCCAAGTCCAAGGAGCCAGGGGGCTCAGGCAGGGGAGTGCCCTGGACACGGAAAGAGGGTACTCCAGGGGCAGTGGGAAGGGGAGATGAGGGGAGGCTTGATTTAGTGACACGGAGGACATGGGGGAGGTGACTGCGGTGGAGTGAGGGGAGGCCCAGGCCTGCGGATGGGCGAAGGGGCGGGTGCAAAGCGAAGTAGAGAGAGATCCTTCCGGAATGTTGGCATGTTGGCTTTGAAGGGAGAGAGACACACAAAGAGAGACAGAGGAAGGCGCGACACACACACATACCAGAAACCAGGTGCCCAGGCCCCAGAGGAGTCCGGGTCAGAACCCAGGGGGCAGGTGGTTTCGAACCTGGATCCGGGTGTAGCTCCCCCATCCCAGGGGCCAAGTTCAGGTGGGCAAGGTGCGGAGGGACACAGGGGTTCAAGCCCGGGCCAGAGGGGCAGCTGCAGCTTCTGAGGCTCCAGGTGCCTCCCCCGGCCTCAGCTGCCCATTGGCAAGGTGGGCCCACCAGGCTCTGCGTCCAGGGCGGAGCCAGGCCTGTTGCCCATCGAGGCACAGGGCTGCGGGGTGGGGAGAGAGAATTGCCCTGATTGCTTCATCACTTTAGAGCACTAACGAGCTGCTTCAGATCTCAGACCCCAATTAACTAATTGACCAGTGTGGGTTAAGAGGCCGCAGGAAGGATCGTGGCGTGAGGCGCCGGGCGGGGGGAGGTTTGGGCGACTTAGCTGGACAGGCAAAAGCTGCAGACGCTGTGTCAGCTTAGAGGGCTGGATTAGGAGTGTGGGCCGGGCGGGCAGGGCCCAGGGGACAGGTGGCCCCCCGCAGCGGATTAGGCAGGGGCCAGGCCCCTCCAGCCTCTACCTTTCAATTATCCCCCAGAAAGAACCACCGACCTGCTTCCGGTGCTGGTGGAGAAAGTGAGGCCCGAGGGTGTGCAGGGCTTTAATGGGGCTGCATAGGAGGTCAGCACGACCTTGGGACATTTCCATGTCTCAGCTTGACCGGGATGGGAGGGTGGCCCGGGAGTCCTGGAGTGGGGGCCGTGCCCAGCCTGGCCAGAGACTCCTCTCTGTGTATCCTCAAGGCTGGCTCCATGGGAGACTCAAATGAGAGCAGGTGTTGGACTGTCCCAGCAATAATGGGGCACCAGCTATATGCCTGCCTTCTAGGTGCCCCTCCCTTCACTGCTGTGGGCCTTGGGGCCCTCCTGCCCCTCTAGGAAAAGGTGCCCGTTGACTGGAGGAGGCTGCTGAGGCCCAGAGAGGGAAAAAGCTTTCCCAGTAGGGGCCGCCTCGCCCGTTTGCCCGGGACTTTCCCGATTTTAGCGCTAAAGTCGCATACCCTGGAACAGCTTTCAGCCCTGAGCAAACCAGGGCTGTCACCCCAGGGCCAGCGTCACACAGCTGGGGGGCGAGTCAGGATTGAACCTGCATGTGCAAAGTGGATCCCGACCCACTGTGCCAGAGTGGGCAGGAGGGCCAGTGTTTCCCGGCCATTCTGTCCCCCAGAGTCACAGGGTCAGCCTGCTAGGTCCCTGGACATTTGGACTGCCTCTGTCCAAGGACAGTGTCATCTGAGAGCTGTCACTGCAGAAGCTGCAGTGATACTCAGTACCCAGAGGGCCAGCACAGTAGGCCGGAGACAGAGGCCGGGGCGCCCGTGCTGCACAGCTCCCAGGCCAGCTTCTGGGACAACTTGTGGAAGGTTGCCCGGCAGGTGGGCTCTGCCTCCCAGCTGCTGCTCTGAGGACGTACACGGGGCCTGGACAGCCCTTGGGGGCTCCACGTGGTACCCCTTCTCCATGGCCTCTGACACCTCCTTCAGTCTGGCTTTGTTAAGTGAAAAGGAGGGGTGGATGGATGTGTGAATGGATGGGATGGTGGGTGGGTAGGTGGATGGAGGGATGGATGAATGAGTGGGTGGATCAATGGAACAGTGGATGGAGAGATGGATGAATAGAGTGGATAGGTGGGTAGACTAATGGATGGGTAGATGGATGGACATGGGAATGAGTGGGGGATGGATGGGTGGGGAGATGGGTAAGTGGATGGATGCATGCATGGATGGGTGAATGGGTGGGGACAGGAGGATGGGTGGGTGGATGGATGATGGGTAGATAAATGGGTGGACAGATATGTGAGTGGATGGTAGGTGGATGGATGCATGGATGGTGGATGTGTGGGTGGATGGATGATTGGTAGATGAGTAGATGGTGAGTGGATGGATGGATGGGTGGATGGATGGATGAATAGGTAGATGGGTGGATGGATGAATGGATAGTAGGTAGATGGATGGGTGGACGGGTGAGTGAACAGGTAGATGTATGACTGGATGGACACATGGGTGGATGGATGAATAGGTGGGTGGATGGTGGATGACTGGGTGGATGGATGGATGAGTAGATGGTGGGTGGATGGATGGATGAGTGGATGGTGGGTGGGTGGGTGGATGGATGAGTGGATGGTGGGTGGGTGATGTGTGGGTGGATGGTGGATGGGTGGATGGATGGATGGTGATTGAGTGGATGTACGGATGAGTAGATGGTGGGTAGATGGATGGATGGGTGATTGGGTGGATGGATGGTGGGTGGGT